TGACAATTGAAACTTCTATAGTCCACCTACACCAGTGCTTCTCACATTGAAACCATCAGTAGAGCAGAACTAATGGCAGCACGCATGAGATATTTTGGAGGGAAGGCAGGGAACAAAGAAATCAAGCACAAACAAGCTCTGCTGAATTACTCCACTGACTTCGCATTATTTAAAGGGAAGTGCTGTTAGTACAGAAGCTAGCTGTTTAACTATTGGAATTCTGTACCTTGGCCTGCTTTCAGGGGACTTCAGAACAGCGTGACTAGACTTTGTATCTGCTTGTAGGACATGGAAAGAAATATTCACATATTTGGTGCAGTAGATTAAATGAGAGCCAAAAATTCTATTAAGTAGACTTTGACCTACATGATATGAAACCTCTTTTGAGCTAGCAACTGACAAAAAAGGAGAGAAACCTCCAAGGAAATCAGTGTACGTCAGCAAAAAGGAATGCCTAGGGCTGTTATATGTCCACAGGCAGCACTTTGAAGGTTGAATAAATATAAGGAACTTTTTGATAACAGCTGGAAGGCAGCACTCAAATTGTGTCAGAAAGATGAGAAAGGACTATATGGGTGCCCAGTATACTGACACAGCAGGATCAGTCAGTATTGTAAGGCAATATGATAAAAAAAATTAAGGAACAGAAAACTGGTATTAAATGTGCAGAACCACCAGCCATTTATTTACTAATATGGATTTTGGTCTAGAAATTGACTTAAGTGCTTAGTTATGTCAGTCCCTATGTAGGAGAGCACTCAGGCATGTGCTTACGGCTGAATATGTGCTTTAATCCAACAGACCATGTAGGAGCTTGAACATTTGCCTAGATCTAAGTGCATACTTTGGTAACTTGGTGAACTGGGACCACCTGATCCTGCAGTCCTTCCAGAATAAGATGGGTCAAATACTGATAATATCTGTAGAAGTGATAGTATCTCCTTGTAATTCTTTATCTCATCTTTGTCTGTGATAGCATCTTTTGTATACTGCAGCATTTGAGAGGACAGCAGCAATTTAAAATCTATTGGTTTAAAATTAATTTAGACATCAGATACTTCTCAAGAGTAGAGTCCAGAATCATGATTACTGAAAAAGAATATTTTTTCCTATTTTTTTCTATTTGTTTGCTCTATCTGTCATACAGCACTTTAAGTAATATAAATTCCTATTTTATACTAATTTTAAGTATACTTGATTGCTTAGGTCTTTCAAATACCTTGGGAAAACTATTTTTTAAAGAAAAAAAATAAAACCATTTGACTTCACAATACTAATGTTATCTTTTTGTGAAGGATGAGCATTTAGTATGCCATGTAATACATGAATATTTAAGTCTATAAATAAATGTCAAGTTTCTTTGCTGACCACATCACTGATGTGTTAGTGACTCCATGCCAAACTTGTTACCATACAGTTTTTTTTAAAAAAGCTATAAGATATTATATCCTCCTTCATAAAGTTATTATTCTGTCAGAAAGAAGAATAACTCATAGAAGTCTTTGGCCTGACTACAATAAAAATAATTTTGAAATATACTGGGATTTTCACCTGAAAGATTCCAGAACTCAGGATTTGTATTAACTATTTATGCATATGATAGTGCAGGAGAAATGTTGCTACTGATTACTAAATAAGGCAGGCAATACTTCTTGGGTTATTCCAGGTATTTTATCAACTTTATAAGTGATTAAATTCAGACACGGAAAGGTAAAATAACTTCCATGTAGTCACACAAGATAATAGCTACATGAGAATAAAACTCAGAATTGACAACTTCCAACTAACAAAAAATTGTAAGTTCCTGCTTGACTTATTGGGAAGGCATCATACACAAATAAATGAGTGATGTTATTTAAAGTTAGAGTACATGGCTCTAGTTCCTCTACTTTATGTACCGTCAAAGAAAAATGAAATGGATTCCTGTTGAAATGACTGTATTTACCAAAAAGTCATGAATTTCATACAAGAAATGATACTGATAAACTGGCAGAACACTATGTAACCCATTGCATGTCACTGTTTTATCTTATGTCTTGAGTAAAAAATAATTAAGGAAAGAAAGCATCAGATTATATAATTGAGCTAAATTTGAAATAACAAAATACAAGCAATACTGTATAAGTACAGTTTCAACACAGACAAACTGGAAAGAGCTATTGATTGTTAAAGCAAATGAAAGATTTTCCAAAAACAAATTACCTCTACCAACCAGTTTATCTTTGGCTTTAATCATGACAAAGCTAAACGTTAACCATATTAAACAACAAAATTTTGAGACGTTACAAACTTTACATTTCATTGACTATTTCCTTTACAACCCCTTCATATACCAATGGATGCCATAAAAAATGCCACTATCAGTCAATAGACATTTATAGTCTTGCTACTCATGGAAGGAATATTTCTGCTATCAAGTTCTGTTGTTAACTCATGGAAGTTCCTGGCCAACACATTTCATCCTATTGATTCTAAATTTTGTCACCTAGAGGTAATATTATCTACCTAGCATGAATGTCATGGAGAACTAACACTTGTAAGATTCTTAGAAGTGCAAAATATTACTAATCCTGAAATCTTCTATTGGATTGATAGAATTTTTTTTAATAGGTAACTTCTTTTCTAGATAGAAAGTTCATGATAAGCCAGATGAAACTTACCAATGAACTGTCCACCCTTATTTTTACTATTAGCAGTAGCCAGGGAATCAACCAAACCTCTATGCCTGTTAGCTGTTATGAAATACCATTTAAAGGAAAATTCTTGAACAGAAGCTTTTGAGTGTGTTTGCTTATGAAAAATTGGCAGAGTGAGAAAAGAAAGGTAAGCTTAACTATTTGTACCTACAGTTCAGCTGGATCTATTAGGAAGAGTTACACCTGCATATCCAGGAACATAATTTGCCCTTCCATGTTTTAAATGGGAGCAAGACAAAACGTGGAACAGCTCTCGGTATCCCGCACAGTAATGACGCTCCACATTTTAACATGATTGCTAAATTTTTAAAGTATTAGGCTAAGACAACCTGATTAACAGACTTCAGAAGAATCTCCAGGGAAAAGCTTGCACTTTATATTATAATTCAGTGAGTGAAAATAGTCTGGAAAAAAACCCCAAAACTCTGTGTCTTAATATTTATAATACTTTTCAGTGATACACAGAAAACAACACACACAGAGACAAATCAAAATATTACTGTAATCTATTCCTGGCTTGCTGTTCTGTTTAGTTTTATGAAACAAATAATTTAGCAGGCAATGTACAGTATAGAGGCCCTCAGTGGATTGCAATATACTAAGTAAGCATGTTTTTCTTTTTGTTAATTTATAGTCCCTGGAAAAAAAGACATTTAAAAACCTGTTGTCTGGGTTTACAAAGCTCATAGGGATAGTTAGTTCTTAGCTGACTGTATTGCTGGCTAAAATGTTAGACATACTTTACCACTAGAGGTCTTTTCATTTACGGATGTACTAAGGCCTCAAGGGTTCTTCATCAGTGGGCATATGTTTTAATCACAGAGCATTGCAAAATGCAGTGTTGTCTTCAAATTGACAACTGCAGGACAAGTATATGGATATTAACCTAGAATTTGCTGTATAAGCATTAGAGGCAATAATTACCCAAAGATAAACTGATTTTTCATCTTTTCTGATACCCTTATCATTTCTCTAGCTTGAGTAATTTCTTAAAATGTAAAATCCTGCCAAACTCTGTGAATTACAGATTTTTGGTCTCAGTGATAAAACTAAAGGGGAAAAAAAAAAAAAAAAGGCAAGAAAAAAAAATTGGTAGAGCTGACTGAATTGAGTTACTTCATTTTTTGGCTCTTGGTGCAATTTTCTTTCCTTTTTTCCATACTTTTGGATTCTTAACCAATGTGGATCGTTCTGTAAATGGAAACATTTAATGCTGAAAATGTCAAAATAAAACATTTATTCTCTTCAGATTTTTACTGTCTGGAACCAAATTCTACCAGAATTTTAAAATAGATGTAGTAAGTAAGCAACTACTTATTTTTGTGAATTTACTGTTCCTTCATTTCTAGTTAGTCATAACAGGGCAACTGCACATCCAACTGGGTTGCATACAAACAAGCCCAGGAAATAATGGGGCTGCAATCTTTGCATAGTACAGCAGAGAAATCAACAGTTGCTAAAGAAATCATAAATCACTGAAAAAGAAAAGGAGAGTGTAAGAGTTCTATGAATGAAAATGTCACCCTTTACTGGAGCTGAGAGAAAAATGCAAAACATTCGCCAGTCACTTGATTGTTTCTACAGATGCCCAGTGCAAACACAAAACACAGGAAAGACCACGTTATGTCAGTTCCATTTCCTGTCTTGTGCAAAGCTGTAGAATATAAAATCTTCTGCTTTTATCTATTCCATCAACCATCTTCCTATTTTTGCTGCATTTCATTGATTACTTATTTCCTGCTTCCCACTAGTTTTTGAGCTTGCAGATCTTACAGCCTGTGCAGTGGTATACAGTATTTGTTTCCCCTTTGGAACACATTCTGACTTCACGTAGTGTCTCAGTGTAGCCTTTTTCATTAGAAAATTGTTGCCTACAACACAGGCATGATCTATGATCTTTAAACACCAGCTACGTCAGTCAGCTCAACAATCAATTTTCATCCAAAAGCTAAAGGGGAAATTTCCTTTGCAAGGCTTCTAAATGCCAGATTTCAACTTCCTTCCTCTCAATTTTCAATGCCAAGACAGTCCAAGAAAATCTTTTAATAATACTTTTCTAAGAAGATATAATTTTGCTCAAATGCTTAAATAGCAACCACCCATAGACAGAGATCAAAGCTGGCCATTTCCAGGAATATCTTTCAAAGCTGTATCTGAGAACAGGGTCATAGAATAGATGCACACAGGCAGCCTCTACAACTGTAATTGGTGATTCAGTTAAAATAATGCAACTTAATATGATTGCTGCTGAGATCTTTGCATTTTCTTTCTAACATAAAAACTTTCCATTTGTGTTTTGAATAGGTAAGCCTACAGGGTATGGATCCAGCAGTAGACGCTTACACCACAAGGGAATAGTGGATGAATGCTGCTTCCAGAGTTGTGACCTGAGGAGGCTGGAGATGTATTGTGCTCCAATAAAGCCACCTAAATCTGCACGCTCTGTACGTGCTCAGCGCCACACTGATATGCCAAAAGCACAAAAGGTAGGCCAGGCTGGAAAATAAAAACCAACAACAAAAAACCCCCAAAACCCACCCTACCTATTTTAGGGAAGGAAAATTCTGTCAAGGCTGGTAACATAGCAAACAACTGACGTGTTCTGCCTAGTAGGGACACTGCAATTTAGTGGGTTTTTGGAAAACAGTGTCTGTGGTAGGAAATAAGTAGGAAATCGTGTGTTCTATCTCACCTCTCAGAACACTGAATAAAAGATGGAATTGCTAAGCTAGTAGTGGTGAGGCTTTATCCTGCTACTGGGTAGTAAATGACAAGTACTCACATCATCCAATCATAAATAGCACCTAAGACTTCTTTCAAAAGAGAAACCAAACGCTGAATGTTTAACAACTGATCTATACAGAACCTCCTCACTCATCCTTCCTTTTCAGGAAGGGGTAGAGTCAGTGATGAAGAGGGTAAAACACAGCTCTTCTGTTATTCATTTTAGATGTAAATGAACAAATTTGTTTTTCTTTCCTCATTTTTTTTAATTTATCAGAACTAAATTAACTTGATAGTCACTGCAATCATTACATACTTCATTTTAACTATTTAATGTTTAATATGTATATTTTCCAAACACTTCAAATATTCATTAGTATTATTTGTATAGTTCTGGAGTTCAGAGTATCCAGATTTTTGTTCCTGTCATACTAGATATACTGTACATATATGTAGTTAAATTTCACCTTTCCTCAACAGAGCCTATAGTTCAGAAAACCCACCCTTAGGCTAGGCTACCATTAAGCTCATTTCCAACTGGCTCTCCTGTTTGAGTTCTGAACATCTGTTTTACATGTTATCTGTCATCTGCTGTAAGCCTCTAGTGATATATTTTATTGCTGTTGACCCTGTCTGTCCTACACATATGTTGGCCCCACTCCTGCAGTTATCTGAAATTTTTTTCTTAAAAGAAATGGAACTGCTTGAAATCCTAGGATTTCATAGGAAGTCAGGAAACTAGCACTATATACTAATTTCCTTAATATCATCTTTATGAAAAGAACAATTGTAATCGTTCCAGCATCCATTTCTTTTCCATAAATCAATCCGTAGAATGGAATCCTTTCACCTCTTCCTCAAAAGTTTTCAACCTTCTAAAGTACTGGCTGTATGATTCTTCCTAGGAAGTATCACCTTAGCCATGAACATCTCAAAAGGCACATCTGACAAGTGAAGTGTTCTTCAGGTAGAGCTCAACTATAGACAAAAAAACCCTGTGGTTTATTCCTGTCTGGGCACACATATATTTAAGCCTTGTGGGAAAAGAAGAAAACAGGCTTGGCCAGTAATATGTGTGTTCCTTCCCATATTTGTTGTTAAGGGGATGGGTAAAGCGTTCTGTAACTTCAAGTAAAAGGAGACAAGATACCTGCCAGCTTTCTGGTGGATCTCCACACCACTTTCCTTGGAGGGCTAAGGAATGATGTCATTCTTTAGGCAGCTGTCCTCTTTCTGTTCAAAAGATAGGCAGGAAAACACTTTTCTTACAAACAGGAAGGAACAGAAGAAAGGCCTTGCATCTTTCTGCAGCAGCAGTGTGCAAGAGGGGATACTGGAAGAAGAAAAAAATTAGAAGGAGTATGTAGTAATTGAGAGAACCTAGCTGCAGAAGAAATCACCCAGGAAATTAAAAGGAGAAAAAATCAAGAGGTGAAAAGGGCAGTAAAAGGACAAGGAGGAGCAGAGGAAAAGAAAGGGGAGGGAATTAGATCAAAGAGGCTGAGAAGATGAAAAATGTTGAAGAACTGAATGAACCGTGGTGCATCACACAGAACAGAGAGAATTTTGAGAAAAGGAGAGAGAAAATAAAATTGAAAAATCAATATAAAAAAACCCAACACCTTTAAAGAAAATGTATGGGAAAAGGAGGAGAGAGGTGAATAGAAGCAGAAAAATCATAAATGTTTCTTCATGGAAACTTGGTGATTAACAGAAATCTGATGGGAAAAGCAAACTGATTTTTTTCTTAATATCTGTGGAAATTAGATTGAGGAAACAACAATACAGAAGGGACAGGAGAAACTGCCAGTCAGATTTATGATAGGTAAAAGGAAAATACAGGCAAGGGAAGAGAAGGAAAACAGAATTCATTAAGAAAAACTCTATATGAAAAAGCTCTGGTACATATTCTCATGTAATTATTATTTCTTTCTTTTTTCTTTTTGCAGTCAGCTGTACATGCCTCCATTAAGAAAGACAATGCTATGTTCATACTTTCTTCTTTGGCTAGACTCCCCCAATATGAATGCATTTAGCTAATTCATAGTGTTGATAAGTCACTGATTTTAATTAAAAAATAATTATACTAAAGTTAAATTATTTTCAGTTGAGCCATTTTTTCCACTTTATAATATTTTTCTCTCTTAATACTATATGTTATATATGAGATACATATACATATTAAGTGAATATATATGTGTAAGATAATATATATGACCTCTTTAATATTTCTTATTTAGATACAAGATTTAAGGCAGGATTAAGTGGAATATATAAGATGTTGTACAGTTACTCTCAGATTTCATACACAACCAGTTTCTTATCCCTTTCAAACTTCTAATATAGTTTTTATTTGGCATCTCCTTATAACCTTTTTAATAGACAAATCCAGGATTTGTGTTTTGGTTTAAGTGTTTTTGTAAAAGTGGTCTACTTTCCCAGTTCCTTGAGCAGATCATTCCTCCTATGCACAATTTGGTAGAATAACTTACTTCAGTGGAGCAGGGCTGTTCTTCTCTTTGTAGGTTATGTTAATGCTGATCTTTAGTCATTACATGACAAACAAGTGTTGCTACACTACACACACAATCTGAATGATGAGGGCCAGGCACTGGATGATTAATGTGGGTTGGGAACCCCAAAATGTTCATTTTCTGCTATAAGGCCAACATCAAGAGCTAGTTTTAATCCAGAGACAGTATGTGCAGAGTTTTGTTTGCTTGTAACTAACGAACAAAATATTTATTTCTTTATAGGATCATTATTAGTCCTGTTCTCACAAATAAATATAAAAGTATAGTGAAAAGTAAAAAATAAACATATTGTTATGATATACTTGGGGGTATTATATATACAGCATACTTTACAGATTCACAAAAAAAAGAAATTAAGAAAGAAGGAGGTTAGAAGCACTTTGCTATTGCCTCAGCTGCTGTATACAACGGAGCACATACCCAACTCTATCCTAATTTAGATGCCCAGCTTTCACCACCTCTTTTGCACTCAGCCCATGACAAAATTACCTTAAACTGGAGCAGTCAATGAATGCAAAAACCACACATAATAGCTTGCAGAGAGGAATGAGGTATGCATCAGAGCACAATGCGATAGCTACAGGCCAACCACCCTAAAGTTTCTAGTGAACAGATGGGATAACTCGGAGTATCTTTCCAGCTGGATTTCAGCACTGTGGGCCTTAAGCTGTGAACTACAGTAATACATAGTTTCTCTTGGTGCCCAGCAGTCAAACTTCCTTCTCAGACATCTATTTAAAGGATACCAAACTCTCACCAGAGTGTGTGTCCCCTACTTAAAAATAAGTATCTTCCCTACTCCCTGAAATACTTTATATTTTTTGAGTTGAAGCCTACAGAGGTCACCTAACCTGTCTGGGTCAGCAACTCTGGGAAGAAAAAACTGTTTGTAGTTAGAGAGGCTTCTGGAGCATTCAAATTGCTTTCTCCAGTGTGAAACAATAAATATATACAAGCTGGGGTACAGGATATATACAGTGAAATGGCAGTTCTCTTTTTAAATACTCAAATGTGGCATAAAACAAAAGTTGTCTTCTTGGTGACAGCTGGACAATGGTTGGTCAATGAGAAAATGCTTTAGTTTTATACAAATAGTTTTTTCAATAGCCTTCACATGTTACTGTAACAATCATATCTGAAGAACATTTTATACAAAACCAACATAGCTGGCTAAGATTTAGTAAACCATTTATTTTATATCTTTTGTTTCTTTTCCTCTGAACTTGATCTGCAAAGGTAAATTATTCCTTTAAAATACAATACGATCTACTTGTATAATCTACATTCAGTCAATCTGTGTTCTAGAATATATTGCCCTGATCGTTCAGATTCCTCAGTACAAAAGCAGCTGACCAGAAATATAGAAATAGCGTAAAATATGCAAGAACTACAGGTAATGCAATTGGTTTTCTCTAATAGGCTTCCTAAGGAAAGCTAGGTGGTTAAATATGATTTTCAGTTTAGTGTTCGGATTGATGAAATAAAAAAAATAATTCAGGACAATCGTTCTGGACTATTTCCATAAGGGAATAGAATAATTTTAGATCCCATTGCAATGCTAAGACCAAGGGCAATAGATATTGGTTTTCTTTTTTCAGTTTATTTAATTTACTTCAATGTATAAACCTTTCTATTATTATTTATATTATTAACATTAATTAGTTCTCTATATCTCTTTACTGCACTGAATGAAAAAAAATTATGTTTTGAAAAGGGAAAGTCAGAAGTTTCACATAGGAACTGCTGGAATTGAATATTTTGGTATTTCCAAAGCAAAACATTTTAATCTCAAAAAGTCAAAATAAAGCTTTTTGATTTCTTGCAGCTTTATGTTTTTGTGGTGAAACTGGTATTCTTTAAGCTATTTTCAGTCTCCTCAAAATTTCAGATTTCAAGGGATTTAATATTACTCAAAATGACCTTACTTTGCTTCTGACTATCTTAATTAAGCTACTGAAATTTAGTACTTCACCTTTTTGTATTAATTAGTATACTATTCAAATACTGTAAAAATTAAATTTTATTAAAACACTTGTATATTTAAACAAATAGGTAATTTTTTGCAGAATCACAATCCAGCACATATTCCTATTAGTCTTGCAGCAATTCTCTTTTGTAATAAATTTCATTTGAAAATTCATGAGAAATAATATTTTTTAAGAATAAGGAAAACCTAAACATTTGATCAAATAATCCAACCAACCTGCATGATCTGTTGTTCACTCATT